AACTAGATGCCTGAGGTTACTTTCAATGAATACACAATCATTTTGTTATATGGCCTGGCCCAGGGAACATAGCAGAGCAAATGATAGACCTCAGTGTATTGGTCTTGCTGCACAATATGAAGTATGTACAATACGAAGAACATACTTCTATGTTGTACAATATGAAGTAGAGCTTGTTTTTCTTCTCTTGTGGTTCTGACTGAGGGTTCAAAGTTCATCCAACATATTCCTTTTGAAAGAAAGCTTAACTTCCCCATGAATGACTTTTTCTTCCTTCCTTTATGAACTTGACACCCATACTCATGTTGAAACCACACTTAACCTTTTGGGATTCACTTTGAAGGGCCATAGGGGAAACACAGGGAAATGTCCAGGAGTTTTCAGTGCTGTCTTCTTAGTTTCCTTCTGCACTTGACAAAGCCACAGAACACTACTTAGAGGATCTGGCAGATGAACTCAGGAGTTGCTTTCCTGTTTTCTTGAATAATCTTAATTATCAACCTGGTCCTCCTCCAATATTATTTTTTAGCTTACATTCTTTTTGCTTGATACTGAAATACTGATTTTTATTTAACGCATTTTCTGGGAGTGTCTGCTGCGAGCAGTGGGGTTGGAAGAATGTGTTGAGGTCAGAAACGTGAACTGGCAGGTCCCTGAAATCTGAGTTGTACTGTTTATGAGATGTGCAACTCTGAGCCTCAGTTTCTTTATGTGTAAAATGGGAATAATAGTACCTACTTTTTGGTAAGGTTATAATCGTGAACAAGGGTGCAACACCTAGTGTTGTACCCGAGGTGCTCAATAGCGTAACTGTCCCTTTCTTTCCCTTTTCTTTCTTGGCATGTTGTCTTTTTCATAAAGAAAGCACAGGGCAGAGGGAAGATATATTTAACAAGCACAGTAAAAGCATAGCCTTTGCAATCAACACGTCTTGGGACTATGGGAAAATCACAACATCACATCAAGCTGCAGTTTATTCAGTTATCCAATGGAAAGTCATAATTCTTGATGGGCAACATTATTATGAGCTTGTGTAACAATTGAGTACACTAAACGTGGCCATTTAGGCTCATTTCGTGGCAGGTGCTCATGGCTTCTCACTTCTTAGCTCTGGACCAGTCCTACCACACGATCTGGGACCAACTGGGTGCTGTGTCTCAGTTCCTCCCTTTCTGAGTTCATTCTGACCCTACTCTCCTTCCCTGTGGTGCTCTTGGGAGAAAGGATATGCCCGGGCAATTTTCCTTTTGATGTGAGATCATGTTTCCCAGAGCAAGGGCAAAAACCAGGAGAGCTTCCTGGTACACATTGGCAGTCATTCTAGAAGACCAACAGGGAGTGCTGAGGGCAACATCGGGCTCCCCTGCAGTAGCCGCAAGACAAACAGTTCCCATTTGAGAGCACAGAGTAGTGCACTAGGGCTCCATGAGGTGTTTGCCATCAAGCAGACTAACAGAGGCCAACACAGGATTCTTTGTTTTGGCCCAGCGGCAGCTGGCAGCTGGCCAGTTCTCAGCCAACTTGGTCTTTGCCCCATAGGTCCTAGTAACTAGCAGTGCCCACAGAGTGAGTTGCACTATCAGCCAGTGATTATGTTGTGAAGTCACACATCCCAGTGTTAACCAAACAAAACGTACGGGGCAGAACGGACTTGTAGAGGCTTGCTGTGGGTCACCTGTAGAACGTGGAATGTATGCACACCAGATGTTTCCTTTATATCATTTATAATAATTTATCACTTAGTAGTTCCTTTATTGTCTCCCTGTCTTAGCTGTTTTCTAATGACTGAGACACAATGCCTGACACCCACAACTCTAAGGAGGAAAGGTTTATCTTGGCCCACGGTCTGCAGAGGTTTCAGTTCATCATCAGCTGGCTGCAAAGCAGGGCATCATGGCAGACGAGAATTGCTCACGTCATAGCAGGCAAGGAGCTGAGAAAGAGATGGAGGGAAAGGGGAGGGAGATAGACCCTTCCAGGCCACGCCCCTAATAACCCACCTCCTCCAATCAGGCTTCACCTCCCAATATCACATTCACCAATAAACTCATCAGCGGACCAATTCACTGAAGATTATCATTCCCCAGTGATCCAATCACATCCTAAGAGCCCCACCTATGAGCTCATAAGGCTTTGGAAGGACATCTAGGTATAAACCGTAACACGTCCCCACTCCAACTTCAACCCAATAACACGGAAGTGTAAAGGGCCCAGTAGCTCTATCCCTTTCACTGGCAGGACCTGACACGTTGATAATACTTACTAAATAGCTCTTGAACTAATGAATGAATAGCCAAGCGGTCAAACCATCATTTACTGTTTTATTATAATAGCCATTATTCAGTGTTGCTTCCTTATATATAGAAAAGAAGAAATACAGAAAACAGGATTTCCAGGCCATTTCCTGATGTACTGATAGCTAGTATTTACTGAACATGGATTAGGGACTTTGGCAGGACCATTGCCATCCACCTCTATGGGCATTATTTCCTTTTACCTTCTCAAGGGCACTGCGACACATGTACTTTAATGTTGCCACTTTGCAGATGAAGAAAAGTGATGCACAGATAGACTAATTCAGCTGCCTGAGGTCTCATACCCGGACCATGGCAGAATACAATGCAGATATGTCCAGCTTCAGAACCCTGCCTTTCCCTCAGATGCCAATGCCCTGAAACTCTAGTTCTTGACTCTGGCAGCACATTGGAACTAGCTGTTTTTTGCTCCTGCTGTACCACTATAGATTCTGCTTTAATTACTCGAGGGTTTATCCTGGGCATTGAGCTTTTCACTGTATCTCTACTGGCTACTCTCACAGTGTGCAGCCGAAATTGAGAGCTATTGCTCTGAAAGGCAAAGAGATAGACGTGGGACCAGTCAAGCTTCTTTCTTTGGTGGGACCTGCAGGCAGAGCTCTCTGAGAAAGGATATGATGACTGTGTATCACGGTCTCCTCAGACAAATGCACAGCCTGGAGAGAAGAAGGCTCCATGTAAGAGGTCTCCTTAAAAAGCAGGATGTGCTTTACTCATCTGGAGTATGAGAACAATGGTAACTCTGGCACAGTGTAGCAGGAAATCTAGAATTTTAGACTTGTTGGAGGGCTGAAAGTGAATTTGGAGACTTTCCCTGAGACCCAGATGAGTTGGTTGATTGCCCAATGCTGAAAAGTACAGATGTGGATGAAGCTGAGAAGCACAACACGGCGGATAAGAGGCTGGGGTCACACTGACTGATGGCTCCAAATCTAGAAAGATCTTTCTGGCTCTGTGGTCCTAAACATCATCGTTAGAGAAGCCTGGTGCACAGAGTGGGGGCTGAGGAGCCCTGTCCACGTGGAACAACATCGGTGGGTCTTGAGACTCACATCTCGGCTCCAGTTACCTTTCTCTTTCCTGCACTGAAGAGTTGAAAAGTCCCCATGTGCTTGTTGGAGAGTTTTGCTGTGTGAGGAACACGGGGAATTTTGCTTTCTCTTGGAGAAACCCTGTGTCTCCGCCCACATACTTAAAAAGGGAAGCTCCTTTGAAACTCAAGCACTACAGATCCGGAATTGTTGAGCTCTCTTTCTAATCAGAGGAGAAAACTGGAGCCTATACACAAATTTGGCCAAAGGCATCACAGTTTGATAGCTGGCAAATGGGGGCATAAAACGTGAATCTCCTGACTCTTGACTCATTGTATCTTCTAGAACTCTATCCTGAGATATGATTATTATTATTGTCTGTTACTGTGATGGTGCCTGAGAGGATGTGTGGGTAGAAGAAATATGAATAGGAATAGTAGTCAAAACACCTGACAACGAGTGTGGAATCAACATCAGTCAGTCAGAATCATGTCCCTGGGGTCAGAGCACTCACCACCTCTGCGTGTCTTGACTGAACGTTAACTGGACTTTATTGGACACTGGACATCCTCTGTAGACAACTGTACCAGCATCAGGAAAGACAGAGGAATAGTTTGGTCTCTTTGCTCCCTAGTTCCTACGGATGGAGCTTACTTCTGAGAACTGATTAAAAAATTCATTTTTGATGGCCTAGATTAGACTTGTACCAATATTTTTCATCTGGAAAGTTGACATACTGACTTTGACAGATATGTGGTTTTTAATAAATTTAGGGCAAACAGTTCATTTCTTGCTACAAGTGTAAAGAATATTTTGTGCTTATCACTCCCAGGTGTGGGCACAAGCTAATACGAACAGTGAATTTCAGAAAGACATCATTCCATTCTCAGATTCCCCAGTGGGAAGTGAAATTTTTGAGGCTGATGTTTTAGAGGCAAGCCTAATTCCCTTTCTGATTCTACCTATAGCTATTTGGTTCAAACAAATGAAACTTCTGAAATGTGATTAGTTTGATCCTCAGATATGACAATTTAATGTGGTTCAAACGAGTGTAGACAGAACACCAATCCTGCTCTGGCTGCTGTTCTACAGAGTGGAAAGAAATGGATGTGTTGCTCCTGTGATTTCTGTTGATGGCTTTTTTATTCGATGCAGAAGATCTAGTGCCAGAGACACACCTGGACCCAATTCTGGTTCCAGCCAGGGCTCTTGCACTCTCTTTGGCATTTCACTCTCTTCTTTAGGATTATTCACAATGAGATTAAACTACTCACCTATAGTATCCTAATTCATACAAGGAACTCAATAAATTCTCCCCTACCCTCTTTTCCTATCACTTGACCAGAGTAGCACAATCTGTGGTATTTCACAATCAATTTGATTCATAAGCTGTGAAAATCAGTTGCTTTCAAGAACACAGAGCACTAGGCATACTTTTAAAATCCCAAGAGGGTTCCCTTTCATCCTAATTTAGAAGCCTATGGGGCTGGGAATTTAGCTCAGCAGCAAAGCACCTGCCTGGCAAAAGCAAGGTCGTGAGTTCGATTTCTGGTACCAGAAAAACAAACAAACAAACAAACAAACAAACAAACAAAAAAGTAGAAGACTAAACAAACAGGTTCACAAAAAGAATTGACTTCATTGACAAACTCTGTCAGCCTTCAATGCCAGTTTATTAAGTTACATCTATGAAATACATTAACATATAAAACCTTTCATTTACAGAGATTGGAATTCATAGGATAGTGTCCAAAGCCACGGGACGTGTACCAGTTAATTACATATCCAACAACATACAATATGCATTTTACCTTGGGGTTGTGGCGTTTTAACATAAAACAAAATCAGTAAAAGCACATGGGGCTTATCACTAAAGTCACAGAAACACCTTCATTTGTTCAATCTCTATACCCCTGAAACAAAGAGGGGAAAATACAAATTTTAATGACTTTAAAAATAAAATCATTTAAACGCGGCCACTTTATTTACTCCACAGTGCAGATCTCTCTCCTCCCGCGTGCCTGTGTCATGAGAGCAGGACTTGCCTGTCATTATCCCTCGCAGACCTCCAGCATCTGGCTAAGTGCTGCTATGTGACAGATGCTCAAAGACAAATGATTCATGGGTGAAGCTGACAGACTGCTGGGCTTGGCGTCAGGGGATAGGAATTCTGGTCTCAGTGCTCCAACTTGCTACTGTCTGGCCTAGGGCCACTTATGTCATCTCTCGAAGCGTGACTTCCTTCATCTTTGAAATGATGTAACTCGGACTAGATAAACTCTGTAGGTAATGTCAGTGCTTGAATTCCATGACATTTCTCTATCAGCCAAGATCTCGGAGTCACTTTGTGTTGGACACTCTCTGAACAGGTGAGAAATGACAGCTACTGGGAACCACTGAGAGGGTGACAAGGCTGCCAGGCTCTTCATCAAATAGAATGCACATGAGTCACTTAAAAGATGATTACACAGTCAACAATTAGGAAAAGACCTCACAAATCCTTTGACTCGGTCACTTCTGCAGCCTAAATGGAAGAATGGCTTCTACAAAACTCTAGGTTTGAATATCTCCAGTGCAGGAGAAATCCCTACCTGAAGAGCTTCTACTTGAGGAGAGAAAGTCATTTGGGTATGAGGCCAGAGAAGCTTGGCCTGGAACCAAAGCTTTTCATTCCCAGCTCTTTCTTTTGGGGACACTTGGGCAACATCTGCTCCCCCTTCTATATTGCCCCATGGTGTAGGAGGATATTCCTGTCTTTCTTCAATTTTTTCTTCGGTTATTACATTGGATTGTATTTACCAAGAGTAGAGGGGAATTTAACTAGTCTAGGATTATGAGTGAGGAAGGCAGAATTCCAGTTCTAGATCTGCCATTAACTCATTGTATGGTCCCAGACAAGCAACTTCTATTCAGACGGACATGGTACTTTCTTCTTAAAATAGGGTGATGGAAAAGATGGGAGGAAGTAAATCTCAGAGCTTGGGAAGCTGTACACAGGATTAGTAGTGGGGCCAGCCATGAATGTGGCTATTCTGAATTATATTCTTACCACTGGTGCAAAGTGCAAAATTCTAGGGTTAATGGCTCATTGAATTTTCCAAAGGGCTAGTTTCCAATATGATGAATGGTATTAATATTCAGGGTAATAATGTACACTGAAAGAAAGTTCTGCTGAAAATGAATTCTAGCACCTCGGTTCTAAGTGAACAGGAAATCTGGAGGCAAAACACATCAGCATATGTTTTGCAAAGTACAGATTATAAACAGACCTGTCCTAAAAGTTAATCCCCAGTGTCACAATCATGGAAACAGCGTTGAGTAAGCACTTGAGAAAATACCTTGCAAGAGAATGCTGGCATCAGCCATCCCTCATGCAGAGTGAGCTAGCTGAACTTTTATCATCCGGAAGGATTATTGAGAAGCATAGAGTTGGAAATTCCTCCTGGGTGACTGAAATGAAGCCAAGTGTTCTGGAATGCCCTCTTCCTGAACTGAACCTGAGATGTTTCAGGAAATGAAGCGATACACTTTTTTTTTCCTGTTGTGCATTAATTTAAAAAAATCAGAACTTTTAGTAACCTGCTGATTAATTCTATTTTGATTCTATTTTCCCACACAGATCTAAACCATGCTAAGGGCAAAATGTGAGTGACCCATGAATTTTGATCATGTTTTCTACATTGTTGAGGAAACACATACTTTTTAAGGTGTCTCCGTTCACCTTAAAAGGTCTAGTATTTTCAAGAGTGTTGAATACTACCCTTCAGACTAGCAACAACCTCTCACTACATGCAGCTTACAGAATGGGTTCCACCATAGGGTGGTGTCTTTGTTCCTTCCCCTTCTATACTTATGAAAAACTGTCCTTGAGAAGCTATTTAAAAAACACTTAGAGTAAATACACATCACTTTGTTAATGACACTCCTTCATCAAGTGGCACTCATTTTCACAATAATAGAATATCCGTGTGCCTGAAGTTAGCTGATGGATCAACTAATACAAACAAAATAAATTAAAAGCTCTGCAGATAATGGAGATATTAGAATAACATGTCTAGAAGAAAATAATTTACTTCTGTGTCCCCAGGGTGATTAGGTACTCAGTAAATGTTTGTGGAATTGATTTGAGTTTAGCTTTATGAGAGACATTTAACCGGCAAAGCATTCCCCTCCCCGTTTAAATGAGCTATTTTCTAAGGCATGTTCCCTCTCTCCCAAATCTTTGAACACATCTCATTATCCCCTTTTAGAGGAATCGTAGTGCACTAATGTTTGCTATGGAGGTGACTGCCTTGGAGCTCTGACTTGAGTCCTTTTAGGAATGTTTGGCATTAGCTTTCTAAATAGAAAAGGTACATTGTTTAAGATTTTAATAAAACCAGCAGTAAAAACTTGAGCTGCATTTTTCAACAAAATAAAAATGTGGTAAGGATTTCCCCACTGAAGGATTAAGCCTTCAGTGTCTTAGGATATGGGAAAATTTCTGTGTTCTGTGTTCCAAGCCCATCAGATCCCCTGTGGGAGGTTTGAAGGCCCTTGGCATAGACCTCCTTTCAGTGGAGAAAGTGAATGCTTATTCTAGAATCTTCTATGCAAATCCTTTACTGAATGTCTGAGTTGCTTGATGTTCTCATGCACCCAGGAGACCAGTGTAGACAGGACATTTTAATTTTCTTAATGGGATCTTGGAGCCAGGCTAGAGAAGGATGAGGCATTGTGGATCTACCAATAAATATTTTGCTCAGAGTGGGTTGAGGGAACATTTTCTTGTCAAGGTAGTTTTGGAGTTAATGAGAAACCTCTTTTCTGCTTTAAGCAAAGGGTAATTCCTCTTTTTGGGATGCTCTTTCCCCATAGTCATCTTGGGGCTGCCCACCTTCTTTCAGGCTTCACTTCCTCTATAAAGATCTGAGAGGACCAGGTGGAGGTGACCACACCCTTTCCTGGGCGCTCACTGTGTGCCGTGCTGTTTTGGGAAGCTGAAGGCGAGGAGGAGGCCTAGTGTGAGTGAGTCTAGCAGAGGTTAGAAAATACAGCAAGTCTCACCCTCTCAATGAAGGCACCTGAAGTTAATTTGTATTAATTGATAGTCAACAAGTTACTACTTAACCAGTCACTGTGTTCAGGAGTCACATCACATATCTCTCTGTCTCTGTAGTTTCTTGGCAACCAAAGTAAGAGTGATTAAGGGGAAAATTTGCCCTCAGATCCATCTGTAAGGTCTCCCATGCTAGGAGCATTTATGATAGAAACCAAGGTGCTGGAGGTACCTGGCTACGTTACACTGAACTGCTCTCAGACTACACAGAATGCAGAAAGTTAACCTGTTTCATTCCAATGAGATCACTTGATCCTGGGAAACAAATAGTTGGGTTCTTGTTTTACAAATCAGCCAATAGCGGGTAAGGAGAGCAGAACCAGCCCTCCTGCCCTTGATACAGCAGTGCAGGAAAATCTTCCTGACCAGAAGACACGAGCCCACTACAACACAGTGTCCAGTTTCTCTTCTTAGGAGAAGAACTTCTCTGGGTTGATTAGCTAATTTTACATTCAAATCCCTTTGAATATTTTCAGGGAAAAATGCTTGAATAGCACTCAGCATATAAAGGCACAAATCCAACCTCAAAGCAGACCAGTGGAAACCGCTCCAGATTTGATGACTGACATTTCTTTCCTTCCCAGAAAATAAGTCTGTGGTTTGTTGTACAGTCAGTCTACCTTACAAGAAATCTGCTATTACGTTTTCTGAGTAACCTGCTGGACAGCTTTCCCAGGACTGTGCCAGAAATAGCAGTTTCAGATGATAATATTTTTCAGACTTAAAGTTATTCTTTGGCAAAAGTTGATTGATATTTAATGAGGAAGCATCAGCAATTTTTATAGACACTGTGTAGAATCCGTCTTTGCTCTTCATAGTGTCCTCTAGGTTGAACTAGTATCCAGAATCAGTACCCAAGAAAGGTGTGCTGAATATATGCCATTGCTATATTTTTGATATGCATATAGAACTCACACTTACTTAAATTGACAACTGTTTACATAATCAAAGGAAAGGCAGCTTTTCTCATAGGCAATATATGGTATCAAAACCCATTCCTTTTTGGAGAACATTCATGAAAAATATCAGCTCTTTCCATTTTTTTAGGCTAGGCGTGGAAGTACATGGAAATACTGATAAAAGATGTTTGCCTCCAGAAGGTTTATACCATTCTCTTGCGTTTTCTTTGGATGTTGTCTGAAGTTTCTGAACTGAAGCAAATTTATGATCAAGTTGAATAATAACTGGATTACTGGTGACAAGCATGGCACAGGAAGATGTGGGAATGTTCTTTACATCCTGAGCTGAGTAGATCATACATTCATTTGGTGGACAATATTTAGACACTCAACACTCCTCTGAGCCACCACAGTACTCTATGTCTTCTCTTCTGCTTTTTTTTCCCAATTAGAATTCTCATCAGGAAGGCATACACAGTGTAAATTTAAGGGCCATATATTTCATAGCTAAACCACTCTCCCTGTGGAATATCTTCTACCCCTGATCCAGAAAACCCACGGCTATAATCTATACACGAATGCAGAAAATTGGAAGCTAGGAGTCATGGCTCCTTCACGCAGTAATTTCTGGCTTCCCCTTATAACAAGAAGGCTCCAAAGAAGGTTTTGTCTTCTTTTGTGTAATCCACCAGAGAGATGTCACTGACGTTCACCATCAGCTTGTCCCCTTCCTGTAAGGAGAACATGGCCCCAAGGTAGAGGGGCTGGAACCAATTGCTGCTTATTTCACACACTGACTTGGTCCCCGTGAGCAGCTGAGAGGGCTCGGGGTAACTGTCTGTTACCTTGGTAATGACCACGATGATGGAGTCTGGCTTGTTCTGTTGTCTCCCTGGACTGATGTTACCACACTCGGAGGTGGTTCCACGGAATGTGATCTGGGAGTAAACAAAGTAGTCTCCTGACTCGGGGATGACCAGGAATTTGTTGGTGTAGTTCATCCGGTTCTTGGTGAAGGCCAGGCCTAGTTCATGTTCCCAGTGCAGAGCCGGAAACTGATTTTTCAGGTGCTGTGTAGGAGTTTGTCTCACAACTGCAAATACAAGGGAGAGGTTTCATGAGTTCGAGTCAGAACCTTTCGACTTTGCTAAAAAGAGTCTTGTGCTAATCTCAAAGAAGAAGAAAAGGGTTAAATATGACTAACAGCTAACAGGTGCTTGGGGAGGAATGAGGGGAGGGGATGTACAGGTTTGTGTGGGAGGGGATGTGCAGGTTTGTTTGAGGAGCAGGAAAGGTGTCTTGAGCAGGTGTCCTGGGGAAAATGACTTTACCTCTCTGAGGCTGAATTTCCTGATGTGACACTTTTGCATTTTACCTGACTCCTGTGATCCTGGAAAGAATAAAAATTAAGAACTGCCCCTCAGGCCTCTGTGTTCTAGAAGTCCACTTACTGCAAAGAGTGGTTTCCGTACACAACTGATTAGCTCATGGATGCCTCTTTGCTTACTGATGACAAGGCGCATTCTTCACTGCGTGTGTGATGAGCATGACTGTTCCATCCTCTTTGACCAACTGGGACAAAATATTAGTTGACCAAAACTTAGTGAAGCCTCTCTCCTTCCTCCAGGCCCTGGACTTTGTCCTACTTTCAGCCTGAGCTGCCTACGGCCCCTTCCTAGACTAGGCTGGCCTCAGAATCGAACCTTCTCTGACCCAGTCATGTCACCTCTCCTTCCATGTCCCCACATCTGGTGCTTTCTAGCTTTGTTTAACACCCTCTTTACATATATGAAAACCCTTTTTAGCCTAACGTTTGAGAACAAGGCTGACTTTAGTTTCAGAGTGTTCTTCCTAGGGCTGTGGTCCCCTCCCCTAGCACAGTACAGCCTGCTCTCCCTATCCTTGGTTCCACATTTAGAGACGCAACAAACTAAGGATGGAAAATACTGGCAAAAATCTATCTCTATACTGATAGTATATAGACTTTTTTCTTTTCATTATTTCCTAAACAGCACAATGTAACAACCATTTTCATGGCCTTTCTACTTCATTAGGTAGTAAATGTCACCCGGGGTGATTTAAAGCGTGAGAGAAGATACAGGTCAGTTGCATGTGAATACTAAGTCATCTTACAAAAAAGATTTGAACATTCTAGATGTGGGTGTCTGCAGGGGCCCTGGAACCAATTCCTCATGGGTACTAAGATGACTAACATCTCTTCTCTCCTCTGCCCTCCCCTCCTTCTGGTAGTAATCCTTTTGCATAGGGTCTTTCCTTCCTAAGTCTGTGTTGTTCTTTATTTGATATGTCTGGGTGTGGCATAAGCATGCAGCTCAGTTTGGTTGGCTTTGGGACCCACCCTAGGAATTGGTGGAACACGCTTCTAGGCCTGTCTGGGTGGGTCATGGAAGAGTGGCTTTGGGGTCTGTATCTGGTTCCTTGCCCTTTCTGCTCTGACACTGTTCTCCTCCTCTGCTTCCTGACTGCCATGAGCTAAGCAGATCTGTTCCACCACACCCTTCTGCCATGTTTTTGCTTTGGAGCCTAATGACTGTGGATTGAAATCTTTGTGACCCTATGCCAAATTAAACCTTTTGTCCTTTAGATTGTGAGTGCTGGATATTTGCCTCAGGGACAAGAATGCTGTTTAATACACTTTCCTTAAGGAAAACAGAGCTAATACCTGTGGAAAGGATTAGAAGATGTGGTAAGCTAATGCTACATCAAATCCCTGACTCCAAGAATATCCTCTAAACTACATTCACTTTTACTAGCCTTTTGTTTCAGATGTACTGTGCACCAAAGACGACATTTCAGAGAGTTAGATGTTCCCTGTCAACACATTCCAATGCTGCGATCCGCAGTGTACAGTGACTAATAAAGAATCATTTGGCAAAACATGTTGGAACCAGAGCCTTAAAACACTTTGGATATTCTTCTTCCACATTTACAGGGCCAAAATACTGTATAAGTCAATGCGGTTGACTTGTGGAATGAGAGGGATCTGGTCTTTGGGCCACATGGGCCCACTGCCAACTCTGATACTGCAACTGTGTAGGTTTATTTTCTTCTCTTACCCTCAGTCTCTTGTCTATAAGCTGGTAATGAAGTTCTTTCAGGGTCTCATTTTCAAGATAAAGTGAATGGAACAGACAGGGAGATTTTTATCACAATGGTTGGATATGATTACATTCAATTTCCCCCAAATAAATCAGCATCTTTCATTTTGACAGATTAGAAAATAAGCCTATTTTATTTTGTATCTTTTACTGTGTTCTTATGTTTGCTTAATCGTGAGTATATCTTATATAGAACATATTAATGAATGTTTTTATGAAATATATCCTAGCAGAAGAAAATGAGTATAATCAAACATGATTCAAACCACTGATTTGAAATAAGATAATCTGTGATGAAATGAATACTTTGCAGGAGAAATAAAAACAACTTGATTTCCTATAACTACTTTTGAAACCCACAGCCATCACTATGAGGTGCCGACACCACAGTTTGGCGGTAGGTTATGATGTGAGAAACCATTTACTAACTTGCACACCCAGTAAGTGACCTGAAATCTAGTTCCTGGATTTTCTAAAGTGTCTTTCCCATTTCTGGCTGGAGTAGAGCTTATTTTGCAACTATGGCACTTGTCGCAGATGTGTGTGGACTATTTTGGCCCCCACACAACATGACCCCTGGAAAGCTTTGGTACCGGTTTGCAAACTCACATGAAAAATTCTTATTAATCTCTGATTTTTATTAGCATTAGTCATTCTTTCCAGGTGATGAAATAATTTTTAAAAAGTCCTTAAATGATTCAGAAACAAAATTCATATCTCTGGACAAGGCAAGCTCTACTGCATTGATGTGCAGTTAGTTATGTCAACAGCGCAGTTAGCAGGAGCACAGATGGGAAGTGTGTTGCAATGAAAACTGCACTTTCCAAGAGGCCAGCTCAAACGGTTCCACTTCCTAATCATCTGACTCAGGATATACAGATTTAGTTACTCAAACCTCAGTTTCCACATCTGAGAATGGAAACAACTATTCCTATTTCACTGGACTTACATGCAGATTTAAATGATACAGTAGAGGTAAAATGCCTACTACAGTGCTTGACACTATTGGACCTCAGTAGCAGATGGACTTCCTCCTCAGTTTCTGTCTCTTGTTCTTTGGAAGAGGGGTGACATCTCCATACTCAGGCAGTTCTAAGGGTTTTCCTCCCTGTCCTGTTCAATTTCTCCCATTTTAGCCAAGAGGAAGTGATAACGACTTGGCATCCCCCTGGTCTTAAAGTTGACTCAGGACTCACTGTAAACAATTCAAACAATCGGTCAGACACTAATACAAATATCTTGGGCCCCAAGGGTATTCCCCTGCTTGCCTCCAAACTCTCCAGTTTCTCAGTGAGTTTTAACATACACACTTTTGCCCTCGTTTTGCTCTATTTTCTAGAGTATCTGGTGTTAGACACCTGGAATTTCCACGTGAGACCTGGGAAACTGGTGACATCGAGAGATTCCTCTTAATACCTGCACAGTGGAAATTCTTTAGAAACACCTTCCTGAGCACAAATGTCCAATGACATCATCTTGATTGGGGCCCAGATGGACTGGATAAATTGGCAGCAAGGGGCCTTTACATCTCTGACCAGACCCAGAATTACCTGAAACTCACAGGCCAAGGGAAGTCATTTCCGAATGGGTGTGTGAAAGCAAGAGAGAGACAGGAGAGAAAGATTGAAAGCTGATTTAGCTGGAAAGAAAGTGCCCACAGACCTAGAGGCAGAAGACTTTGGGAAGCCATTGACTGAGAGAAGTCTGCCACCAAGGGCAGTGGTTCTTACATTGCCAGTTCTGAACTGCCATTTCTGGTGAATGTGTGGAAAGCAACTTGAGAACCACGGCCAGTGGTCACCTAGAAAACACAGAGGAGCTTACCGGTCAGGTGTGCCCTCGGCTTGTCTCTGTCACCTCTGAGTGATGTGTCTGCAAGAAAGGAGAAATGAGCTTGCATGAGTCAAAGGGTGGCTGGATGAGGACAGCACTTTGGGAGCTGCCCGGCACTGTGACGGGAGGCAGACATTGATCTCCTGCAGTTTGGTCCAGTTTCCCTCCTTTCGGGTTTTGGGTTGGCATGTGGTGCCTTGTAGTAAGCACCGCTGGGGACAGGGGCAACTCCAAAGAAAGAGTCCTGTTCAGCTGAGTACAAATGAGTCTTGGCCCCTGACTTGGGGCAGGTCATGTGGCCCGAGAGTCTGTTTTCTCATCTCTAAGATGGGCACGACAACCCCAGCATGGCTGAAGAGTGCTCAACAGGACCCCTGCACATGGTCAGTGCTCAGCGAGGGACAACTTGCTGCCCCTTTGTGCAAGCTGCTCCCATGAGAGATAACTGGCCTTTGCCTTCCGCCTGGTCCCTTTAACTACACTTACTAAGAGGTACAGAGAAATGGGATCCTGAGTGGGTGAGTTCATTCTGCAGCTACATGAACTTGGCAAGTCTTTTACCTTCTCGGGCTGTTGTTCCTGCATTAGCTCTTGAAATACCCTGGAGTTTCCCTTTGGCTCTCAAACACGGTAATGTGAGAACACTGAGTGTGTTCTAACTGCAGTGAGGACGATGATGTTGAATGTTGACAACCCATTTAAGAAAACAAAAGCCATCGTGTCCTTTGGATGTGCTGGGCATTGTTCTCATCCCCTTATGGGAATTAACTAATTTAATTCACACTGACTCTATCAAGGAAATACTATTATAACCACTTTTAGAGGTGACTAAATGCAGATAGAGACAGGTAACACATTTATCCAAAGGTCACATTGCTAGTGAAATCCAGAGCATCAGCTCCAGGCCCTGCATTGGGTCATGGCCTCGGTTTACCTTCTTTGTGATGAGGGAGAAGCCTTAAGTATTCTAAGTTTATGTCCCTTAGCCTAAGGGATGTTAAGGTCCATCTCCAAAACTCCTACATACCACAACTATTAGAAATGTTCTTGTTCCTCATAATAAAAGCATCAAACATAAACACACTTACAAGCTCGCTGATGTGCAGGTCCAAACCTCTGTTCACTTACAATCTGTGGAGGAAAAAAAAAGAATATAATTTAGACCACCTGTGGTGCCACGCAGCAGCTACCCAGCTCCTTATAACACAGGTAAGATTACGATGCTGCTATCAGCCTGAGTCCTCTGCCATGGGGAAAACAGCATAAGAATATTTTGGTCCAACAACAGGTCCCCACACCTCTGGTCTCTCCTCTCTCGTCCATCTCCTGCCTGCTTCTGACTGCCTTTTCTTGCACTTCAGCTGTCCACATCCTTCTTCAAGGACTCCCCTTCCCAGCCTTTCTCTCTCTAATGCTTGAGTCTGAATCTGAGCTTCGAAGTTCTGTCCTCAGTGCTTTTCCTATTCTAGTCGAGGGGACCTTGGTGTCTTCTCATTGCTTACTTGAAGAAATAATGGTACTCGCTTTATTTTCTTTTCACCATTAAAATTTGAAAATTGTAACTATCTTTACAAAATAATACAGAAAAAGAACTAATGACCATGCTCCCCTTATCATCAGCTTCCTTGTAATCCCAGGTGGGGAGTCATTTCAGATACCATGAGACAGTACAGTAGAAAAGTAACTGCCCTGGTGGCAGACAGTCCCTCACTGAACTGTGGTTCCATTGTTTATGAACAATACCATTTTGAGAAAGATACTTTTCCTTTCCGAGCTTTGGTGTCCCCATTTGTAAAATGGGAAATAGTATTCCCCACCCTAAATGATTTTAGGGTTAAATCAGCAAATGGATGAGTCAGTGCAAATAACACTTGGGAAATGACAGAGCCACAATTCATGAAGGTTGGGGGAAAAACCGTGATTGTTTTCTTGGGAATAATATCACCTACTTACATTTTACAAGGTTTTTTAAAAAAGAAAACTTTCTCTAACATGATTTTGTCTCAATCCAGTCTTCAGAATTGGTTCTTGTAACTACAGAGCACCCACTAATGGGCGATCCTCCCGCCACCGTGAACATTGATTTATTTTACATCTTATAATACTTGTGTGTTCTGTGTTTGTGAGTGAGATTGTGTGCCTGTGTGAGTGTGAGGGAATAGACATTTTCAACAGAGAAGGGTGTACGTTGTATCCGTGTCTGTGTGGTGTGATGTTGTGTGCGTAAATGTCTCTGGGCAGTCATGTAGATGTAACTACATCCATAGAGGCCAGCTTGAGAGCAGGTTTGTGATAACAGTGATCCTGTAGCAGCCATGCTTCCACTCTTTTTGCTTTCAGGCTTCCTTACTTGACCTTGGCTGGAAGCTCTTTTGGGTGTGAAAATCAAATCTTGTCTTTGAATGATTAACTGACTTTAGTGTTTTTCTAGCTCTTTTCTATGTGGTTCCTAAATCTTTCACTGCCTGGCTCTGGCTTCCCTTCGGTTCCCAGACCTGACATGTGCTTCCTTCTTCTCCCACAAACTCCAGGTCTAGGGCTGGGGATTTAGCTCAGTGGCACAGCGCCTGCCTGGCAAGCATGAGGTCGTGAGTTCAGTTCCCAGTACCGGGGAGGGCGGCGGGGGCGGGGGAGTGACAAAACTCCAGGTCTATCATTTCTATGTTACAGTTCTCTCATTTGTGCATCCAAGCCAGGCTTTGTGCACAGCTCTCCTGGATTTGGCTAACAACTTCCGGCAGGTCTCCATCCCTCCGGTCCCTCCCTTCCTCTCATCTCTCTCCTGCCTGCTTCTGAGTGCTTTTCCTAAAACATCATTTTATCAAGACACAGCTCTGCTCAGAGGCCTTCAACAGCTCCTGTGGCCTTCAAAACACAGTTCTGTCTTGTCTTGACATTCGCGGTCCCAATTTACCACCTCAGTTTTGCTATCCACTATTTACTCCTCTTGGACCTTCTGTGTTCCCAGCCGTAACAGGCAACCACAGTGCATGATTCAAGGGACTTAAAAATGCAGAAGGTGTAGCTACTATTTAATGAATGAGTAGTGACACTGTGCTATGCTAAGCCCTTCAGAGGCATCATTTCCTTCAGCTTCAGGACAGTATGTAAGGGATGCTATTTATATTTCTATACTGGCAATAGGGGTTGGAGTGGACAAACAACCTGCTTAATGTTCTACACCTGGAAAGTGGAGGCGTAGGATTTTAACTCAGGCTAGGTGACTACAGAATCCCAAGCTCTAACCTACTGTACCCCCCAGCTTTTGGACAAGTTCCTCATCTGATGAAATAGAAGCTAAATACCCACAATTCCGTGTACGGTGATAGCAAGCCCAAAGTTCAGAAAACAGAGACCTGGCCCAGAAGTGGGAGAATCCAGGGAAATCACCCTGAATTGAAGCTTACAGTTCCTGCAGATATTTGCCAAATGCTAAAAGAGGTAATGACTCTTTCAGACAAGGCCAATAGCTTGTGCAAGAGTGAGAAACCCCAACAGAACAGGGGGGCATCAAGAAAACTGAGGTCTTCTGCTACAAGTACGTTGTGTGCACTTAGTGTAGGGGCATGAGTACCATGGTCCTTGAAATATCTAAACCCACTTGTACAGCACAATAACTTTGATAGGCTTAAGGCATGGAGAAGCAGTCCTCATGTGAGCATACTCTCTGGCCTGTTGCCTGATTGCTATTCACAGAGCTGACAAAGGAATCGGCCCTTTGCTAAGGCAGAAAACCGAAGGTGGGGTTTTCCAAGAGAATTAATCCAGAGATTTAGGAAAGAGATATTTTTGTTTATATGAAAATATTGTAAGTATATAGAAGGGGCGAGCATAATCTTTTAGTACTAGGGCCTCCAAAGGCCTTCATCCTGGAACATAGCCGTAGATGTTCACTGAGAGTTGCAAGACCGGGCCAGGAGCCAGAGTAGGAAGAGGCAGTTGGGTGTGCCCAGGGGCACACATCTCAGTTGGAGCTGAGATGCCTGTGACCACTTGTGTGTACTCTAGCAACATAAAGTAGAACATCTTCTTCCCCGCCCCCTTCCTTCCTATAGGTCAGGGAACTTTCACTGTTATTTGATTTTCTTTCTTTTTTATGTTGACTGGTGGTCCATGACTAAAACTGACCATGCCCTATTACTATGGTCATTTGTGGAATTACTCAGTCCTTCAAACTGGGAAGAAGAAGAGGTGGACAGAAGGAGGCAATGGCTATCTAGCTGAGTGCTTCATAGGTGCTAGGTCCTGCACTGAGCCATGATGTGTGATCTCCATTTCATACTTCAGCTATGTCCAAGGGTGTGTGTGTGTGTGGGGGGAGGGTTGGCATCACCTTTGCATAGTCTGCAGAGGTTAAGCACCTGCTCAAAGTCAAAGATAATCAGAGGGCCTGGAATCTGAACCTTTGGACTGAGTACAGATCCTGGTGCATATCACGAGCTCCATAAACATTAACAGAGATCAGAGCAAATGAATGAGCTTGAAATGAGATGTTCTTGGAGACATCCTGGAATTTTCCCAGACCACTTAAGTACATTTTAATTAATGTTTCACTTAACCTTTCCTCCCATATTCTGCAGCCACTCCCTCTGTCTATCCACGAACAGGAAGAGATATTCAATTCTTGCTGTCATAAATGCTGCAATCGCAAAAGCATAAATGTTTTATGATCTACAACATCCTCCTGCCCTTCTAGGAGAAATATGCAGACATTCTGCCTCTTTGTCGTTGCCTTGGCCTTCTCCCTGCTTGTTCTTTTCATAAACATAAATTCAACCTGGAAATATATTCTGAGGTTATTTCATTTCACCCTTCTCGCAGGAGCTCTGCATAGGGCTGTCCATGCCACACTCAGGATGGCGCAGAATAAAGCTGCTGGTGTTTTCAGCCTCGCAAATTTGGATATCCCTGCTCTGTTATTTCCTGATGCCCTGATTTGGGAATGTCAGCTAACACCTGTGACACTGTTTCCTTATCAATAAGAGCTCACCATAATTCTTTCCTCACATGACTATTAAGCTGGCTTGGAAAGACCATACACATAAAGTGAGTATGTGTATGTGCTTTGGTTGGTTCTGCACACCCCTCTCTTTGGTCTTGTAACTTCAGTTGTAAAGGGAAGAACCTCAAATAGAAGATTTGAGGATCCTTCAGAAGCTCTGATGGCTTCCGTCTTTCCCCAAAGACAGACTTTCCTTAGACTCCCTAAGTCCATAGTTTGCTGTTGGCCTCTTGTTCTTCCAGAACGGAAAAGTGTTCTGGGAATAGGTGTTAGTCTGCTTCCACCCCCTTTCAAACCCTCAGCTTATTGTTGCTTTTGGTTTCTGGGTCTGGTTAAGGAGCTGCTGTGCGTGTCTGGGGTCCGTACCCTCAGCTGGCTCTCCTTTCCTCCTTTGCACTCTGCAGTGCCTCCGCTACCCTATCTCTGGCTTCCCTGCCCTTTGCTGTCAGCTGCCATTTGCTCTCAATGAGTCTGTTCCCCTCCCGGGTGTGCTGGGGCTTCCTCAGGCTACAACAGGGGCACTCTGTGGAGGAATCAAGGGCTCACAAGTTGGACTGTACTTTTAGCTCAACTGTCTGTTTCTTGCAGACAGCACTGAAAAGGATTATCATTATTTTCTTTCCTCAAAAGAAAAGAACTTGAGTGAGATAAAAAGGCTCACTCAAAGTGGAGCAGGCAAGGAGATGGGGTCTGCTGAAGACCTACCCTTTGGCAGCAGCTTTCTGGACGCCTGGCAGAATTCTCCCTGCAGAGCATGAAGAAAGTTCACTAATATGCCTCTTCCAGAGGCAGTGAATCTAACGCTCAAGGAGATCCATTACTTTGCCCATCCCTTTATCCATCCCTCCATCCAGAAAACACTTGAGTGCCTTCTGTGAGACAGCCACAGCAAGCTGCCCTTGGAGGAAGGAAGAGTACTGGTATTTACTGAGCATTTACTATGTGATAGGCTTTTCAATGTTAAGTCCTGATCATCTCAAGAGGTGAATCCTCTGTTAGGCAGGCAGATGTGTGAATCATTAGGAGGAATATGTATGGTGGATTTGAATCTCAGTGCCACATTCCTTACCTGTACGACTTTGGGCACACTGATAATTTCTCTAACCTCTACTCTCATCCTCTCTAAGATGGAGATAATAGTAGCACTCACTTATTGTGTAATTTCAAGGTTTAAATGAGAGGATGTGGGCAGGAAAAAGAGCGAACATGTATTACACATTGCCGTATGCTGGATGTCTTACTAAGCACTTGATAGGTGTGATTTCTCTAAGCCTTAAATATAGAAGATTTGAGTGTGAGGTACCTGCTGTATAATAAGTAATTAGGAGGGCAGAGCTGTGTGGTGGTGATTTTCCCTGAGTCTGTGTGACTCCGAAGCCTGAGCTGTCATCTCCGTGCGGTCCTGTTTGCCTGGGTAGAGACCAGGGGGCTCTCAGAGACACTTATAGGAGGAAGAGGAGTTTGGCAAATAAAGGTGAGGAGATTTGCAGGGACTTTTAGCGAAGGGTGGAAGTGAGATAGGAGGGAACCAAGGAGCATGTGAGGTAAGCGTATGATAATAATTCTAGAAACAGGACCTGGAAGGGAAGGAGATGGCAGGGGTGTAGCTCTGGGCAGGAGGCCCTCTGAAGGCATCCCTAACAATTCACTGCACAGGACTGGGTGCCCATGATGTGCCAGGCTGGTAGTCCCAACATCAGTGAGCCCTGGTCCGTCTGGGGAGACTTGAGATATTTTCTGCCATGCTCCAGGAAAGTAGAGACCTGGTTTCAGGGCACTGTTAGGCCAGAGTGGAGCCTGCTGGATCCATCCTGGGAGCAGTGGAAGTCCCTGATGAGCCCAAAGATGCCCAGACTGAGGCCAGGGGAAAGGATAAGGGTGGGGGTGGGGAGCGGTAGTGGGGCAGGATTGGGTGGGAAAGGATAAGGGTGGGGGTGGGGAGCGGTAGTGGGGCAGGATTGGGTGGGAAAAGAGGCATGGAAACAGCTTGGAAATATCAGAGCCAAAAAATAATCAACTACAGAATCCAAACCTGCCCTCTGGCTTGGTGATGGCAGATTCCAGAGTGGGCGAAGCTGTCTGTGACATAACTTCCTCAAGTAAGGAAATTCCTGGTTGTAACGATGAATATTGCTACCATTTATTAATCCTCGCCTCTCTGCCAGTTGTCCTCAATGCTTTATTTTGAATTGTTCCCATTTTCTATGTAAAGAAACCGAGGCTCCAGGAGATTAGGTAATGTGTTAAGCAGTAGCAAGACCAGGATTCAGACTGAGAACGAGCTTTTGACCTACGATCTTTCCAAGATGCAAATCTGCTTAATATCCTCCCTACAAGTGTGAAAATATTCAATAATGAGTGGAGTCTGGCTGCCTGCAGAAGAAGGTGATTTCTTCCTGTCTTCCCAACCACCTAACAGATAGCCTGTGATGCACATCACATCTTGGCTTAAAATTTATTCAACAACAGAAGCGTTTTATTTCTCTTAATCGCTTTGTGGAAAGAGTTTCTAAGCTGAAAGATTTTGATTTAAACTAAATTTTTGTAACATGAACTGGCCCAGCTACCTCTTTGATCCTCATTTTCCTTTCTAGGAAGACATGACCTCTCTGACTCCCTTCAGGACAGGAGTCATGGGCACGTGATTTGGAGGTTGACATAGATTTGGGATGGAAAACTCCACGCAGGGGCTGGCAGGAGGTGCTGAGAATGGCCGTGAAAGCTTCTCTGCATGGTGTGGCTAATACCATTCTTCCTCTAGTGTGGCAGTGGCAACCTAGCAGGGGTCAGACAGCATGATTTCAGATATTGGTTCTGCTACTGAATAGAGGTATAAGCTTGGACAAACCTTTTTAGCTTTCTGAGCCTCAGTTTTCCTGTTCACAAAAATGGGCACAGGGTGGATTCGTTCAGCGATCTGTGATCATCTGACTGGCTTTATCTGTAGTGGGGTTTTTTGATTGGATCTCAGGTACAGCCTTCTTGCCACAGGTACCTTCCTTCCCTCCTCTGGGGAATCTTCCATGAACCATCCCTACCTCCATGGCTGGGCTAGGAGAACAATGGAACTCCCCAGTACCTTTACACTGAAATAGCTATTTCCTTATCTGTTTCATGCATCAGACCTGAAGCTCCCTGAAGTTCCCGATGGGTCCTCTTGGTAGTTGTCTGGTGGCGCAAGGCACAGAGTGGTGACCTCCTCCCAGTGGCTTTCCCATGTTCCGAACGTACACAGTACCCCTGCACAGACCTTATGGAAACTGCCACGAGTTGATATTAATGCCCACTTTTAGTGGAAAATGAAACAGGCCCAAAGAAGAGAAGTCACAAGCCTATTTTCACATGGCCAGAAGTATCTAAAAGCCAGATTCTGGGATGAAACCCAAGGCCTTCACACTGAGCTACATCCCCAGGCTTTTAAAAAATTTTTAATTTTGAGACTGTTTCACTAAGCCACTAAATTGCCCAGGTTGGGTTTGAACTTGTGCTCCTTCTGTTTCAGCATCCCAGAGTGCTGGGATAACAGGTACATACCACCATGGCCACCTGGTTTTCCATTTTTTTTTTTTTTTTTTCCGGTACCAGGAATTGAACTCACGACCTCACGCTTGCCAGGCAGGCGCTGTGCCACTGAGCTAAATCCCCAGTCCCTGGTTTTCCATTTTGAATGTCTCTCCCTCACGCCAGTACATCTCTCTAGATCCACTCTCTGCCCTTCTTGGCCCTGCTCTGCCTGGCATGACTGACCTCTGGGCCGTGCTTTCCCTGGCTCCTTTGTGGCCTGGCTCCAGGCTCCTGTTCTCCCTGGGGTCCTCAGAGATGGCACTGGCCCCTCACGCCCAGGGGTCGTCAGTAGCTGGCTTCCTGCTCCTACCCCTCGATGTTTCCAGTGTTTTGCTGGAAGATGTAGTTTGTGCATCTCAAAGAACAAGCTGTTCTTCAAATCCCATTCCCTCTCTTAGTTGTTTTTCTCCTTTATGTGCTCTTCTTGAGTGGCCAGCTGCTTCTTTTCAGGATCTTGATTGCTATCCACGCCCCAGCCGCACTTCACCTCTGTTTCTCTGTCTTTCTCTTCTGACGCACTAAGAGTTCCACAGCCTGGTCAAAGGACAGTCCCAGATGTTTCCACATGTCCCCTCATGGGGAAGGTGGTTTCCCTACAGTAGGTGTGTGGTATTAGCCTGTGCATTCCTCAAGCACGTGAGTTGGTTCGGCATGAGGACAGACTTTGGAGCGCCATAAAGACACTCAAACTTCCTGTCTAATGACATCTCCCCTCCTTAGACTGCGGCATCTATGCCATGGTCCTCTAAATAGACAAAGACCTTTACCATCTTTTGCTAGCCTGGGGGAATCTCAGACATCACCCTGGAGATCCCATTACATTTCGGGGTTCTCTTCAGAACCCAGGAGTGCACAGGCTGCTGGAGGTTCCTCCGTGCCTCAGCCAAGAACAACTGTCTCCTTCTGCCAGAAGAGGGACAGTGTCTCCACGTGACAACCTCCTTCTCCCAGGAGCCAGCTGCGGGTGGCCCCGTGGATTCACCTCTCACATCAGCGGCATTTCCGGGTTGTGCGCATATTTCTACATATTATGAGCAATGGCCCATGGCCAAGATCGCAGCTGTCTGCCTGTGGGCCTTAATGGGGCCACGAGAGTCACACATCAGCCGCACTTTCCCACTTCTTGGGAGCTGGCTGGGACTGCTTACAGTCCTGCTTCCCGATGAAACCAATTATTTTCTCCTTTAGAATGTAATATTTTGGACTGAAATTCAGTCAGAAGTATGCAGGAGCATTTGTTTTAAAGTCACTTAAATAACTGTTATTTTAGGCTTTTAGGTCCTTTTTTGATGTTTCTAGTCCTAAATTATAAGTTTTCTCCTTGACACCCTCACCATTGGTTTCCATGGACTCTACCTTTTTTTTTGACTAACCTCTTCCCAGCCCTCAGAGAGATCTGAGAGTTAGACAATCAAGCGGATGGTTCTTTATGGACTATTGAAAGCTAATATTTCCAAAAGAATTAAGATGTGTAATATACACGCTCCAACTCCCTGCAAGGCATGCAATCATTATGTACTGCAAACATGCATTAATAAAAAAATAAAAATTGAAGGAAAAGGAAAACTAATATTTCTAAACTAAAGAAAGGCAATTGGGTAAATAAATTATAGCACATACCTATAGGAATATAATAGGTATCCATATCACCATACTGCTGTGAATTTACAAATATATAGATAAAATCACAATATATTATGAAAGTAAAATGAGTTTATCCTTCCTTTAAGAAGGATGAGATGGAAACAAATCTTTTAAATAAGGAGGGGAACAGGGGTTGAAATGTGGGGAGGGAAATGCAAAAAAAATAGAAATCAAGATATATCATGTTAGGGTACAAATTCCCTGTGGTGAATGTGATCCATATGTATATATACATATTTTTTTGTTTTTCCTCCAGTACCAGGAATCAAACTCATGACCTTGTACTTGCCAGGCAGGTGTTGTGCCACTGAGCTAAATCCCCAGCCCCCATTATGTATATTTAAATTGTACCAACAATCTTAACAAAAATAATATCAAAGTGTACATGCCAAGCTAATAATAGGTATCCTCTTAAAAGGCCTATGGATAATGATAATTTTCATTTCTAAATCTTTGACTTCTAACTTTTTTCAATTCCATGCGTCAGTTACATAATTTAAAAGCTTTTATAAAAGAAAAGGAATGTCCCCAAATAATGAGTATATCAGTATACTAGGATTAGAATTCTCTCAAAACGCAGTTAGAAGTTATTCCCATATCACAGTAAGAAAGGACAATTCATTCCCTGCAAACATGGAAACACTGAGGAGAACCCAGTGCAAAGCCGGAGCAAGTGCTGTGGCTGCCACAGTCCGAGGGTACTCAGCTGAAGTAGAGCTGCTTACCTGCTGGAACTGAACACAGTCCTCGCCTTGGACCCAGAGCTGACTGACCAGCAGGTAGGTTGTGAGTGCCGTGAGGATGGGGAGCGACACCAGGCAGCAGGTGAGAAGGCAGCGCATGCCCTTGTTCCTGGCTCCCAGCCGGGCTCTGGCCGTGGGCCCACTGTGGCTGCAGCTCTCCGTAGACAGCATTTCCATGCTGGTTGCTTCCCCAAAGCCCAGCTCCAGGTCTGCCATGCTCCTGCTGTCCTGGAGCTGCCTCTGACCTGGCCTCTTCAGAGATCCCCATTAAATAGGGGAGAAGCTCCCACAGTGGGCGAGTTAATCACTCTGCCTTCTCCTCCCCTTTCCCTCTTCGCCTGGCCCTGCCCTTGGTAGGGAATGCACCGCCTACAACAGAAACCAAGTTTGGTTTAAGAGGAAAAAAAAAAAAAAAAGAAGAAGAAGAAGAAGGAGAGAAGAAAGCTTTCCCAAGCATATTTATACACAGTCTATTCATGTGCTCCTTCCTTCGTTTACAGAAGGAAGTTAGGAAAGTCCCTGGAGGAGGAGAAAAAGAATTCCTCAAGGCAGTGGGAGGGGCAAATGAAGATATACCTGTTGCTAGCCCTGGAGCCCTGCTGGCTGTGCCAGCCCAGGGATGTGCGTGTGCTGCTTCTGGAAGTGAAAGTGAGGGCAGGGGAGGTGTGTATCTTGTGGACAGAGAGATGGGCGTTGTCGTGATTGCATCATCACTTCCAATGTGCCAAGTTCTCCCTCTGTCTCTGTCTCTGTCTCTCTTGTCTGTCTCTCCCTCTGTTTTCCAGCAACTGAATTCAGGACTTTGGCACTGAGCTACATCCCCAGCCTTTTCACAATTTTTTATTTTGAGATAAGCTAAGTCAGTACATTTTCCAGGCTGGGCTGGAATTTTGATCCTCCTGCGTTAGCCTCTCAGCAGGCTGGGATGACACGCATGTGCCACCCCTCCAGGTCCCTTCATCTTTTTGTGCCTGATAGCAATTCATTCCCATTGTCCAGCTGGGAATACTGACTTTCCGGAAGGTGAAGGCACTTGGCCGAGGTTATCCAGGGATTCAGAGAGAGGAGCTGGGAGTCAACCTTCTCCTCCTAAGGCATGGTTTGGGGTTCTGACCTCAGCCACACACAGGTACCTGTGAGAGGAAAGAGTATTTCTAGCCTGTATTGACAACAGTCTAAGCAGAGAGTATGAGGTGGTAATAAGAGGTGAGTATCACTGTGTGTGTGTGTGTGTATGAGAACATTGACGCCTATGTCCCGATGAGTCTGAAGTTAAGTGAGCATCAGTGATACGTCTTGCTGCCCTGCCCGTGCTGGCTGTGTGCGGGGGCCATGTCATGCAATAAAGGGTAAAAGTTACGAGGCACTTACTTTGTGCCAGTGACTGCTGGAAGTAAACTGTGTTCATGACATCATTCAATGACGTTTTCAGGTAGCAATGTTATTATTCCCATTTTGCTGATGAGGCAACCCAATCATATACAGTCAGTGACAAGGCGAGGCTTAGGGCTCTGGCAGCCTGCCCGTGAGGCCTCGTGGCTGTCACGTCACACTGCATGTGCTGCCATTTGGTGCATACACAGATCTCTTACCCAGGAGAAGCTAATTCCTCTGGTGAGGGCGTTAAGGGAAAGAAAGACTTGGTGTTAGGACTAGGCCCGGAGCTTAGATAAGAGAGACCAGTGGAGGGAAGCAGCTTCTGAGCCCAGGTGGGCTACAGAAATCGGAAGGCTTAGGGACCGGCTTGTGGCATGTGGCAGAGACAAACTCTGTAGAGCTTCCATTCAGTGGCTGCTTCTGCTTACCTCTAAGCCCACACCCTCCAGACCACAGGATAAGGGCTTTCCTGGCCCCACCTTTCCTCACCATTACCGTCCCCAAGGCCTGGCCGCCTCTCTTCCTGCTCTCCCAGGCTGCAGTCTCCTGAATCCACCATGGACCAACTGGACTTCGTACCCGCTGCTTCCTCTGCTGTGGAAGTTTCCGGTCTCTCATATCTCCATGCTTCCCTCTTCCTTGACTGTGTGCAGAAAACTTGCTTGCACCCCACTTCTGCAGCGGCAAGATGCTCATCTTTATGCTCCGGCAAATTTCTATCCCTCTCCTGTCACCGCACACTTCATCCTAGACTGAGCTTGCTTGGCTTTCTGTCATTGCCCCTCCGGCTGTCAGATTAGGCAGGATGCAGGACAGGAGGGGAGTTCTACTGTTTCCCTGTGGCCATCGATCCTAACGTAGTAGTTGTCACTTTTTAGGCTCAGAACTAATAATCGCTGAACTAAGCATCCTATTTTCAAGGATCCCAGCAAAGGATGACCTTGATATCTGTCGGCCACCCTTGCTTCCTTTAACAAATGTGGTGAGGCACTGTTCTTTAAGAACAGCCTAAATCTTTGCTATTGTAACTTAATATTTCTCTCGATGACCAAATAATATTCCATGGTATAAATGCATCAGAGTTTTGTTTAACTGTTCACACAATGAAGGATATTTGGGCTATTTCCAGTTTTGAGTTTATCACAAATAAAATGGTTATAATACTCATGAGTAGGTTTTGTGCAAACTTGTTTTCATTTCTCTGGTACAGGTGCTCAAGAGTGACATTGCTCTGTTGAACAGTAGGCCTATGTCTAACTGTGTGGGCAAGAGCTGTACCCTGCTCCAGAGGGGCTGTATTATTTTGCTCTCACCAGCAATGTGTGAAATATCTAACATATCTCCTCAGTGCTTGGTGTCATCACTGTTTGTTATTTTATCCATTCTGATAGGCGTGTAGTGATACCTTACTATGATTTTAATTTGCATTTTGCTAATGGCTAATAATATTGAGTATCATTTCATGTGCTTACTTGTTGTCTGCACATCCTCTTTGGTAAAATAGACATCTGTTTTCATTGCCACAACTACTTCTTTCTTCCTACTTCACTCTCAGTGAAGTCAAAGACAAAGACTAAACAGCTTACAGATAAATGATGAGTTACTGCACTTGAGTGCATACTGTGTGCAAGACAGTGTTTTAGACAGTGGGCGTAAATTTTTCAGCAATTCATTCTCAATAGCTAAGATTTTGTTTCGCAGTACTGAGGATTGAATCCAAGGCCTTTGCACTGAACTACATCTCTAGCCCTTTTTAAATTTTGAGACAGGATCTCTTTTTGTTGTTAAATTTCCCAGCCTGGACTTGAACTTGCAGTCCTCCTGCCTCAGAGAGCTGGGGTAATAAGCATACATTCCCACACCTGGTTCTAAGTGTATTCTGACCTGTGCAGCATACACAGCCTTTCTGCAAGGTCCTAATCCAGGCCTCAGCTCTGTTTCCTGGGATGATGGTAATGGTTGCAGAGCCCTCCCTCTTTGCTTCTTTTTTTTTTTTTTTTTTTTTTTTTTTTTTTTTTTTTGGTTTTTCTCCGGTACCGGGAACCGAACTCACGACCTTGCACTTGCCAGGCAGGCGCTTTTGCCGCTGAGCTAAGTCCCCAGCCCCGCTTCTTTTGTTAAGTAAACTGTTTAATGAAAGAGAATTTTTCAGTGGCTGATCCACCACCCTCTGAATGACAACAGAAAAGTGCAACCATTTTAAATGGAAAAGCTTTGTAAAATATAGTTTAAGCAGTGTGTGTGTGTGTGTGTGTGTGTGTGTGTACGCTATCTACTGGGTCTTCTGTAGTTACTGAACCACATAAAGCAATGTTCTTTCTGTGCTGAATGTACCCTGATAGAATTTTTTCTTTTTTCCTCTCCTAATCCCTCTCTTTCTTTGTGCTTAGCTTATGCCTAGCTGCCCTTTGGATTGGTCAAGTTCTCAAGTGAGCTAGAGCTAACTATTCCACTTCTAGGCATAGTAAATTCTTTTTTCTTTTTAAACAAATACACTTTGCTCATTTAATGATGCCATTCTGAAACACCTGCCATTCCAGCACTCTTGGAGGCTGAAGCAGGAAGATCATAAGCATGAGTTCTGCCTGGGCAATTTGGCAAGATCCTGTCTCAGAATAAAAAAAAGAGGGCTGGAGATGAAGCTTAGTGTTACAGCACCCCTAGATTTGGTCCCCAGCACTGGAGAAAAAGCAAGACACAGTTATTTGCCATAGATATAGTCATCATGGGCTTATCCAAAATAGATAGAGAACTACAAATGCATAAGAAAAAGAGAAGTAACTATTAGGAAAATGGGCCACAGATTTAATCAAGAGCATCTTCAAAAAGGCCATCAAATAACTTAAAGACTCAAAGATGCTCAATCTCATAGTAACCAGAGAAACAGAAATCATTATGAGAGACCAGTACATACGCATCTGAATTGCTCAGAGAAATGACCACAATGCACAGTGTTAGCAAAGCTGGGATTGGCATAGCAGAACTCATGTGTGTTTTCAACAGGGAAGATGCATGAAGAAGGACTTTTGCTGTAGCAGTCATCACAGTAGAAGAGCCCTAGATGTGTACTGCATACTGTCAGCAGGACAGGTGGGGAAGACACTGTGGCACAAACACACAGTGGAGTGTTGCACAGTTGTCCAAATGAAGGAAAGTCAGCAACACACCTCAATACAGGTGAGTTTTAGCACAGTAGTACTAAGGGAGGAAGCACTCTCTCAAAATTACATAGAGCAGTGTTTACATAAAGTTAAAAATAATGCAGACGATGTAGGGACCAGGAAGGGGCAAGTTGTGGTGATGGTGATGAGCTTCATGTGATGTCATAGGACACACCACACCGTCCTAGCTTTCGTATTACATAATGAGTTAATAGGTACTTAGTACATTATACCCAGTTACCTAACTGAATAAATGCAAAGCAGTTTAAGCATGACATCAAGACAAGGACCAAGGATTGTGCTGATTCCAATTCTACGTAACTGTGTGCAGTCCTAATGAATTCCAATGAGTCATGTGATTTGCAGAGTTTGTTTTGGCTCTGTGGATTTTCTTTTTAATTCTTGACTCTGGTTCAGACACAGATGTTGCCAGATACTTGAGGTCTTGTTGAACCTGGCCCTGTCGTTAGCACTAAGAAGCATTCCCTTAGAAGGGCGGAGGGATAGGGTTTGTATTTTGTTGAGCAATGTTTCTGGTCATCACATAGGAGGAGACCTGGGCTTGGAGAGGTTGGGAAAGGAGTGTCCATGTGGAAAGAGGATCAGCAGGGCTTTGAGAGTGAAGAGAGGGCAGCTGGGAGGTAGAGGGATGTGTCAAGCAGTGGCAGGGTATCTGCATGCTCTGAGGAAGCAGGATGCAGTCTTGGCTAAGCATCCAGGACATTTCTTTGGACACCTTTTCTCTTCTGTGGCCCATATCTGTTGGTACTCTCTCATGCCCACAGTACCTATTCCATGCTCTGCACACTATCAGACAGTGGAGATACAGATATAACCTAGGTTTGAGGTTGAAAGTAAGTATTATTTTGGCCATGAGTATTGCCTTACTTCCCTGCTAGACAATACTAGCTTTTGGGCTTTACTAAGTTGAGTGAGTCTTGCTATTAAGGAGCAGAGGGCTAAGTTACAGACTATGTCCACAGTGGTGGGTTTAGGCAGTTAGAGTTCACACTTCTGCATAGATCCAGCCCACACCTCAATATGACATCATATTTTCATGATTTATCTTTATAGCACTCCCACCCACTGGCTTTTG